TTTCACACTTTCTAGAGTTTATATTTTGATTTCCTCATAGTCGATGCTGAGGTCTGGTGTGTAGCTCATTTGGTGGAATATTTGTTTAGTGTGTATAAAGCCCTGACTTTGATTCCAGCACTTCATAAAACCTTCATGTTTTTATGGCACCACTGTAATTTCAGCACATGGGAGGCAAAGGTAGGAGGATCAGGTGTTCGAGGTCATTCTCAGCTACAAAGCAAGTTCAAGGCCAACCTGAGTTACAGGAGACTGAAAACAAAATAGAGTCTAAAGACATGGCTTAGAGGGTAAAAGTGCTTAAGTGTGCAAGCATGCGGACCTGAGTTCAAATCCTCATCAACCATGAGTTTTCTTTTTAAGGCATGGCTGTCCATACCTATAACCCCAACATTGGGAGGCAGAAATAGGCAGAATCAGCCAGCATAGCCAAAATGGCAAATTTTGATTGAAAGACCCTGTCTCAAGGCAATAAATCAGAGAGTAGTAGAGAAGATTCCTAGCATCTTGTACTCTCCTCTGTGTGTATATGTGTGGGCTAACACACCTGCACACATATGCAGGTACGACACACACACACACACACACACACACACACACACATACACACACATTAGAAGATAAGAATGGCGTTGGAATTTTGATTCCTGGTTTCCGTGGGGGCATTTATCATAAATGATTTGGATTTTGTCAAAAACCTTTTCCAAATCTATAAAGATGATTATGAGGTTTCTGTTTCTTAATCTATTCATGTGGTTTGTTATGTTTCTTGATTTATGTATTTGAGCCATCTCTGCTTCTCTGAAATGAAGCAAACTTGCTCAAGTAAATGATGGTTCAGATGTGTCCTTGAATTTAATTTGCAAGTATTTTATTGAAATTTTCTGTACCCTTGTTCATTACGGAAATTGCTCTAGAATTTTCTTTTTGTTGTTGCTGTTATTTCTGTCTGTTTTAGTATCCGGGTCATACTAGCTTCATAAGAAGATCTTGGTGGCATTCCTTATGTTTCTGGTTTTGGGTTCATTTGCTAAGCATTGTTATTAGTTCTTCTTTAAAGGACTGATAGAAAGCACCGAAGCCATCTGCCCGGGAGTCTTCAACTGGGGGACTTTTATTTTATTTCTACTGCTTTCATCTCATGTCCTGTTATATATCTGTTCAAATTTCTTATCTCATGTCAGTGTAAATTTGATTGATCATACCCATCAAGAAATTTGTTTATTTATTTTAGATTTTCCAATTCAGTTGTCCATAAATTTTAAAGGTATTTTCTAATGATTTTCTGAATTTCATTGGTATCTTTTGTAATCTCTCCTCTCTTGCTCTGATTTTGCTAAGATTTTTGTCAGTTTTGTTTAAATCTTTTCAAAGAGCCAACCTTTCAATGCTGGAGAGATGGTATAGCAGTTAAGGGCACACAGTGTCCTTCTAGAGAACATAAGTTCAGTTCTCAGCACCCATGTTGGACAGCTCACAACCACCTGTAACTTCAGCTCCAGTGAGATCCAACATTTCTGATCTCTTTGGGTACTGACATACAAGAGCACGTGCCCACACAGAGACCTGCACACATGTATACAGTTATAGCATTAATTCTTAGTTTTGTTTTTGCTTATTTCCATTTCATTAATTTCTGCTCTGATCTTAAATTTCTTTTGGCGTACTGATCACTAAGCTATTTGAGATCTGTCTGGTGTTTGAATGAAGGCAATCGTAGCCGTAAGCTTCTTCTTAGGACTGCTTTCATTGTATTCCATAGGTTTTTGGTGTCATTTCTATTTTCATTTGATTCTAGAAATTTTTTTCATTTTCTTCTTGATTCCTTTGATGAATCACTCATCACTCAGTAGTGTGTTTCTGCTCCACGAGTTTATTCTAACACAATAAAGTTCACGGATGCTCCAGAGTAATGGTAGGAAAATTAGAAGTCTTTGTTTTCCATATTACAGCAAGTCATAAATCAAGGCACATTTAAAGTCCATTGGTGAGAATGTTATGTTCAGATTGCGGAGTCCCCAAAAAAATCAACAAGGAGACCAAGTCACGTATGTGAAAGCAAAGAACCTTTATTCAGCACATTGTCACAATCAGAGAGCCTCAAGCTCAGTTATGATGGTTTTTTTTTAATCATAGCAGAGGTTGGGGTGAGGGATTTCTAAGGTTCAGACCCCTGATTGGCTGATATTTGTCTAGGGGTGTCCTGGTGAAAGGGGATGGGTGTGTGCTAGGCTAAGGGACATCGTGTGAGCCTATCTACAATGGTTGGAACGTTAGGTATTTCCTTTGGAACATTATGTACTTTCCTCTTGGATGGTCCATTCCTGGGTGGTGCCTGGGTGGTCTCTGTTGAGCCTGTCATGGCTGGACCCTACAAGAGCATCAGAGAGACAGTTACAGAAAGATGGGGAGGCTTTGCTGTGGGCCTCTGGTGCTGTCTGATAATGTTTTTTGTTTGTCTGTTGGAAGCCAGTAGTCTGCTAAGTTAATAGATTTCAAACAAAAAGTTTGTATCTGTTAGTTACAGAATGTCAGTTAGTTCCGACATAGAGGTGGGCAGAGGATGGGTATTGGGGAGAGGGCAGTGAAAGGTAGCCTGAGATAAGTTGATTAGCCCTGGACCTCGGCATTCCAATTTCTAATCAAATGGTCTTTGCAAACAAGACCATTTCAAGGAGCTTCTCTCCAGGAGTTCTGGTTCACAAACCGTTATGTTGGTATAAGAGCAGAAAGCTTGGTACAGTAACAATATGGAATTTATACCATTCAGTGGCATTGCATCTGTGCCAAGGTGTTTTGGGGGCATTTGTTGGTGTTGCATTTGGTGACAACATGTACACTGTAATGTGCCTGCTGTGTGTTCCAGAAACAAGGTTTCAGTGAGATCACCTGATGTGACCTGGACAATATGTATTCTAAGTTGCATATGTAGAAACCAGTGGACAGTCTTTGAGAGTTGGGTCCTGCCTTCCACCTTGTTTGGGTTTTGTTTTGTTTGTTTAAAGCCAAGAGAGCGATGCTTTATTGATCGGTAGAGAAGTATTCTAGGTGGCAGGAGTTGTCCGGCTTCAGCCTTGTTGAATCTAGTCTCTCTTAGCCATTAGCTTCCTCACAGCCCTGCTGACTTGCCTACACCTCTCCCTAGGAGTGAGCGCCCTGAATACAGATTCGTGCTGCTGCATCCAGCTTTTTAGGTGGGGCTTGGGGGTCAAACTCAGGTCGTCAGACTTGTGTGGCGATCATTTGTACCCACGGAGCCATCTCCCTAGCCTCATTTCATGTTTGATTTTTTTGGTAGTTCCATGTTCAGAAACCTTTTATGTTGCTGGATTTTTCATAACATGTACATTCGTTTGTGGGACTTCACTGAGGGTCACAACCCATAGTTTACGGTCACTTTAGATCAGTGACGAACCTGAGCAGCTGTCTAACTTGGATAATTTGTGAGACTGTGGGGAGAGACGGATTTGTACATTGCAAAGCGCATTGAAATCAGCCATTGCATTATGGTTCTACTTAGGTGTTGGCTCCGGCAGTTTAAATAGACTCTCAAAGCAAAGCGTGTGTTTCCTCGTCTGTTCTTGGGAATAGAGGGTTTGTGGTGTGAGATACAGATCTGGTTTTGGCAACACGTTCACTAATTAGAAGTAATACCAATAAAAGATAGGAATCTTTTATTATCAGAGAGTCTACAGAATTCTTATCTGGTAGCAAACACTTGTGGCAACCTTTTTTTTAGCACCCCCCCCCCCAAATGCAATATATGAAACCTTCACTGAAATAGTTTCTGTCTCCAGGGTTTAGGGCTAGAAGATAAAGCAGGGTTGCTGTTTCAAAAAATTACTGAGGACTTCTTAATAGATTTTCTGTGGCCTGTAATAGGTTTCTCCACCAACTCAGTAAGCCAAAATAGAAAAAGTATAGCAACTCTCAGGGTTGGAGAAGCTGCTCCCACAAACAAAAGCCGGGGGATTATATAGGTTATAGGCCAGGAGATGATGATGTGTCTGCCCGCCACAAGCTGAGTATGGTCGAAAACTTAATGCTGGGGGTGGGGCAGGGACTGTGATTTGGGCGGCAGGCAACTTCAGCTGTGGAGGCTGCAACAACCTCCAAGAATGCATAACTGGGCCTTTTGGCACCTTCTCTTTGTTCGGAGACTCTCTGGGTGGGCGGGGTTTGGAGAAGGAGACAGGAATGGGATTTTCTGGATAATACAGGGACCAGCGGAAGGTTCCTACTAAACACTCCTGGTTTGAAGGTCACAGAGCCAGTGCCCTGTGACCTTGTGCTAGTGACCCACATCCAGGCCTGCTCTTCTCAGATATACTTTGGTGGGATGGGAGGCTATGAACTGATTGCCGTCCCTCTGCTCAGGGTTCAGAACTTAAAGTACGACTATAGGGGACACTTCTACATGAGAATCCTGAGGCCACTTCCAGCTTTTCTGAGGTTGCATGTAATTGGTTTTTTTCCTTCTGCCCCCCCCCCACCTTTGGACTCTGTTCAGGTTTAAATAAAGGCCACTTAGTCACCCACCTTGCTCACTTCCTCATTAAGTAAGGTAGTTGGAAAGCAGACCAGCTTAATACTGCTGCTTAAAATTGTGGCCTGCCAGAGGTGGTCAAATAAAATTTTGAGTAAATTAAGAAGATGGATGATAATTAAGATAATTAAGAAGATGGTTCACCCGTTGGTATTAGCAGATGATGCCAGCAAAAAAAGGAGATTTCAATGTCTTTGCCACTAAGGTATAGTCATACCCCAAAACCGGGAAATAGCGAATCAGTTATTTATGTAACTGATCAGTTATATAACTAAGCAGGCCAGAAACTGATGTCTGACAGTAATTCCCACAGATTTTTACCTTAACAAAGACCACCGAAGCCCACAGCAGAGATGGGCCTGGTATAGGAGGCTCATGGAAAACACTGGGAGAAAAAGAAGGCGTCCTTCAGAAGGTAACCATTGAAGGAAGCTATAAAAGTAGGTAGACGGAGGCAGGAGAAAAGCTATTGGTTTTATTTGTTGTGTTGTTGTTGTTTGGGGGGGTTAGGGGTGCTGGGGATCAAACTTGGGGCCTCTCCCATGCCAGGCAAATCCTACCACTGAGGATGCCCCAAACCTAAGAAATAGCATTTTACTAGACAAGAACAAGTCCATGTAAAGTTAGCAGGGAGTCAGGAAAATTACGACCCCTCCGAGGTTACATTTTTGAGGTAGAATGTTATGTTTTTGAGCAGCTCCCATTGGAATTCTGTCATTTGTCCCAAATTGTGCTTTATTAGATCGATGCTAACAAGTTAGCACACAATCTTCAGCGGGAAATGTTGCAATTGATTTTAGTTCTAGTTAACTCAGAATGTATGGAGACCAGTGCTTTTACAGATCAGAATGCAAATCTGTATTCCTGAAGAGATTTCTCTAGAAGGGCCAGTGTCCTTCAGCATTCTCGGAGAGGGAGAGGGTAGGAGGAGGGTAGGTCCCACAGTGTCAGGCAAGTCTGCCATGTCAACATCCTTACCTCCACACTGAAACTAACAAATACATCCGGGAGAAAGTTCGCTTCTGTATTGCTAAGAAATCCAGTGGTTTCATACACAGAGTCTATATCACGCTTGTATTCAAACTTCACGTTAACGCAGTCCGTTCTTTGCGAGTCTAGAGAAGCAAAAACCATTTTAGGGATTTCTCTCTGGGGGGGGAGAGAGAAAATGTGTGTTACTCCATGGAGTTCACTACTGGACCCAAGCTGTTTTGAACAGAGAGAAGTTTAGATGGCTAAAGAGAAACAAAACTCGAATCTTGCTGCTTGGGAAGATGTTACAATTGTGTGGCAGATTGCAGTATTTTATTAGCCCTGCCGGCATGTTTGTTTTTGTGGTGGTGGTTGGGTTATTGGCTTTGCTTTTGGGGTTTTTTGATTGTCTGTTTGTTTCCATTTGCATGGGGTCCACAGCAGTGTGAGCCTTGCTTCGTCATCAGGTGTCATACAACTTTAAGCCCTGGTCAGTTCCCTTTCCCTGAAGTGTTTGAGATGCACACCCTCACACACACTCTCATCTGCCCCCCGGGGATTGCCATTCTCCACCTCTGTGCCCGGGAATACCGTACCTGTGTACATGCAGATTGGCTGCTTGGAAACCTGGCCGGGCAGGTCACGTGGGTGTTGCTATGAGTGTGGAGGTGCATTTTTCTTTTCTTTCTTCTTCCTCCTGTCCTTATTTTGTTCCGTTTAATGGGAGGGAAGGGGCTTTGCAGGTTCCCACGTCTTTCCAAGCCCCTCTGTAAAAGCCTTGGATTCCTGGCTTCTCGCTGCTGGATTACCTTTGGCTTTGTTTTAGGGTGCCACACCTCCCACTGAGGCTTCACCTCTGGACTTTCCTCACGAGCAAGGCACGTTTGAAGCCACAGTGGAGAGAAGTAGGCCTCAGCCTGCAGAAGTCCTCCATGTCTGCAAGACCCAAGTGGCCGAGCTGGAGCTGTGGCTGGAACAAGCCAACGTGGCGTTTGAGCCGGAAACATTAGACCCAGACATGCAGCAGGTGGTGGAACAGGAGCTGGCTGGGTGCCAGGTAAGCCGGCCAGGCAGGAGGTTAGGGTTTGCCTAGTCACCCATCTCCTGCCAAGATGGGGCAGATTGCTCTTAAAGTGACAGTATGCGTCTCCCCTGCCTCCGAACCTCACATTCATTTTGGCCTCGGCTGGTAGTTTTCACCGTTGAGTCTCTGAAATTCTTTGTGTCGTCAGCCCCTTTGAGGGGACAGACTATGAGTAACAGCCCGGAATCCAGAATCCAAAACCAGCCCCGCTGTAGTAACTGTGAGCGTGGACCAGTTTGCTTTGCCTCCTTATGCTTCCCCCTCCAGCCAGAGTAGGTTAGCACACAGAATTCTTCTGAGGATTGGATGAGATGAGTTCACAGTGTCTGGCATTAAACTGTGCTCGACATTTGCTGCTGGTTTTATCCACGGTCGCAAGGTTGCGAATGGATAGTTAGCTCATCAGAACGAAAGTGAACGTAGTAAGATTTCGAAGACTGCCTGAAAGAACTTAGAGGCCCGGTGTGTCAGCCGATGTGCTTGTTGTGCTCCGGGTTGGGGAGGAGTGAGAACATCAACTTCCTTGTCTGAAGTCACCCTGAGGATAGCTTGCCAGCTCAGTCCAAAGGCTGGGCTCTCTGTCTCTCCAGGGAGGGGCTGGGATGACGACACCTCAGCAGTGTGGCTGCTGTCACAACAACAGAGCTTTGCTGCCTGCTTACGGTAGCCTCTCCCCAGGCTGTGTCCAGCAGACCAGCCTCGGCCTCTTACCAGGGATGGAGACATCTCCCTCCTGTCTCAGTGTCCCTCAGGCACTGGCCCTGCCACCAGAAGCTCTTCCTGCAAGAACCTGTCCTGGGGTTGGGGTAGCCCGGCCACTTCCCTTTCATCAACCTTCATCTACTTGCAAGGGGAGGTGATGGGGCTGGGGATAATCCTGTTAGTCAGTTGTAATAGTCGGTCTACCCAGACGCTGGCTTTCTGGTCGACCTCCCTGGTGATGAAGTTAAGCACAACAGATCAGAGCTGCACTAAGTTGTACCTCAAGTGTCCCCAAGCTCCTTAAGGATTGCTATCAACCAGATAGACCTCATGCCCATGGCTTGGTCGCCACCAGAATGCCCATCCTCTTGCTATTTTGCACCCATTTTGAAGAGTGGGGGACACTGAAAAGACAAGACATGCCCACCAGGTGGCAGTAGCACTCAACAAGCTTGCTGTGGGCAGACCTGGCAGGAATGTGAGTCTATCAGGGAAGTTCTCCATAGAAGCTGAAGGTGGCTGTGGGGAGCGAGGACTTCCAGGGGGCTTGGGCATCTGTCTATATGATGTCCCAGGACAATGGAGAACCTGGATCCAGAGGGCAGCAGAGGCATTTTATAGACTTATCTTACCCATGGTGTATCTAACAGATGGAAAATGCAGCTTTCAGGCTCTAAATGGCTGAAATTGTGCTTCATTTGAACTACATTTAAAGGTTATATAAAAATTTGGGTTTGGCAATGGTGGTCTTTGAACCTATTCAGCCGGTGGGTGGATTGCTTGCTCTGTACACATGAAGTCCTGTGTTCAACCTGAGCACGGTATGAACCCGTGTGGCGTGCACCTATGATCTCAGTAATCAGAACAGAGGCAGGAAGGTCAGGAGTTCATGGTCATCCTTGGCTACACAGTGAATTTGTGGCTAGCCTCAGCTACATGATACCCTGTCTCAAAACAAACACATAAAATAGGTGAATTCAAACAGCAGCTTTGTTATTCTTTTGTTTACATTTGTAAAAGTTACAGACCTCCTGAGGAGATCAGAAAATCTGATCCTCTCGTATCTGATAGTTTTGTCTGATTGAATCAACAATTTGGAAGGTCACTTGGAAGAATATAAAATGTTGTTTTCCTTTTATTTAAAATTGCCTCTAAAATAAAATAAATCAAAAGAAAAACCAAGGTCTCACCATGTAGTCCAGGCTGACCTGGGGCTGTTTTGCAGAGCAGGCTAACCTGGGACTCACAGAAATCTGTCTGCCTCTGTCTCCCAAGTCCTGATTCAGAAAAATAAATATAAAAATGAAGGAAGAAAAGTGGGGGGGGGTAAGATAAAAATAGAAAAATAATTTTATTATTTTTATTGTTTTTATTGCACTATACATTTTTCTCAGCTCCCTTCCTCCCCTCTCCCCTTCTAACCTATTCCATGACTCCCATGCTCCGAATTTACTCAGAAGATCTTGTCTTAGAAAAAAAAAATTAAAGAAAGAAAATATTTGCTGGCCTGGTAGTTCATGCCTTTGATACCACTATTTGGAGGCAAAGACAGGTGGATCTCTAAGCTCAAGGCCAACCTGGTCTACAAAGTGAGTTCCAGGTCAACCAAGACTACTCAGTGAAACCCTATATCAAAAATAGGAAAGAAAGAAAAGATTGTGCCTCAGAAAATTCGGGCTGGAGAGGTGGTTCCGCAGTTAAGAGCACCAGCTGTTCTCCCAGGGAACCTGGGTTTGATTCCCAGCACCCACATGGTGGCTCACAACCATCTGTAACTCCAGTCCCAAGGGATTGGATTCCCCCTTCTGACCTGGGAGGGTGCTGCATACACATAGTACACAGAACCAATGCAGGCAAAACACCCATACACATAAAAAATAATAATAATAAAATTTAAAAGAAATCTTTAAGGTGGTAACAGAATTACGACAGTGTTAATTAGTAAACGGAAGACCTGGAAACAGCTTTAAGTAAAGCAGAACAGCCGGAGGCTAAGCGAGCCACGGAATATCAGCTTACAGCATTAAAATGGTTGCTGGGAAGCATCAGCCGTAAACACATAAAATATTTGCCTAAAGCCACTGCGTGGGTAAACAAGCCAACGTACAGTTGTGGTTGCCTTTGTGAACGGCCACTCTAAAAGCTTGGCGTACATACTGTTGAGGCTCTGAAAACCCATAGGGATGCCATAGTAGTTTTCTGGGATAGAGGGCTCACAAGATACATTATTGGAAAATCTGTTTGGAGGTAGAGTGTTTCTTTAACGGAACTTGGTCTTAGTCCCAGGCTGGGTTTTATGCCAATGGCCTTGGTGCTAGGATGTGGGGTGTACACAAGGCTGCTGATCCAGTGCCCAGCCAGTTGGCATGGTTGCGTAGACACCTGAGCTTCGAGAGAGTGTAGAGTCTGTTGAGGAATGCAAAGAGCCTGACTCTTTTGGAAATGCACTTTTTGTAGCCAGTTTCTTTTTAGACTCGTGTACATCAGTTGGCTGTATCAGTCACTACGCATTTTAAGTTCCAAATTGCTTCTGTGTTCCTTTGATCTTTTGGAGGTTCGATTGGCTTGAGAACGAGGAAGAAATGAGCAAGGGGAAGAACCTTCATATAAGTGTGTGGGGTTCTTCCTTGAGTTCTCTGTTTGACACTTGGGCTACAACAGAAAAGATTAGAAAGATGGGGAAAAACATTCAGGGTTTTCCTCTTAATCTCGTGCTTGTATATTCCACATGATTTTAAGTCGTTAAGCCCAGAGCACATGGATTAAGGCAAAAATACACGGAGTTAATTGGCTGACTCCTCACAATAAATCTAGAAAGTAAATGCTGCCGTTTTCTCCATTCTAAAGATTACCTAAGGGTACACAGGTAGGGATCCTGGATGAACATGGCTACTGTGTGGCCAGACTATTTAGCATCCATATTGTTAGTCAGCAGGAAGCACTGGGCATCATAATCCGTTTTCAGGGGTGATTACAAGGTTGCTTAGGGCAACATCTTCCATCAGGGTTGATTTAGTCACACCCCTGCTTTTCAGCACAGAATCGTGTTAAAATTTGTGTTTTTTCCAAGGTTCCTTCCATCTAGTTTCTAGTACTTCAAGAAAGCAAATCTCACTCATTTTGGAGACTAATACTTGTTGGAGACTGACGCTATGGGTTGGCCGTGTAGCTCAGCAGTAGGCATGCTATGTATGCACAGGGCCCCCGGTTCAATCCCTACCCCACCCCCTGAAACCCGCTGTGGATAATTCGGTGATGTTCTCTCTTAGGCAATGCTGACGGAGATTGAGCACAAGGTGGCTTCTCTGTTAGATACCTGCAAAGACCAGGGCCTGGGTGACTGCGGAGCCACTCAGCAAGAGGCCGAAGCCCTTTCCTGGAAACTCAAGACTGTGAAGTGCAACTTGGAAAAGGTCCAGATGATGCTTCAGGAGAAGCACAGCGAGGACCAGGTAGGCATGGAGCTGCGTGGACATCCTAGAGCCTGCCGCCAGTACTCTGGGTGGAGGTGGCAGTGCAGAGACACAATCCACATCAAAGAGTCACAGGGCATTTTAAAAGGAGTGAGAGGAGAAGACGCACAGGCTTCTGGGATCACATTTTCATTCCACTGTGCAGGTTTCCAGGCCTAGGTGCCTGTTGGTGGCTGCAGGTTGACTTGAGCGGATCCAGCGAGGCTGAGGATTCTATTCATTTTGAGTTTTGATATAGAAAAAATTTTCACAGGGAAGAGCATATTTATAAACATAATACTGCCCCCTTTAGGTTCTTTGGGGTTTTTTGTTCATTTTGCTTTGTTCCTTAAAAAAGATAAATTTCCTGACTTTTGTAAATTCATTAGGCAAATTTAGATTGAGTACGTAAGACAATCATCTCACTAAATGTAGTTGCTATGAAATAAGCGCATTAAATTATAGCAAATAACAGTGCTGCTATTTACTCTGCCCTGTGGCTCTGTTGGTAGCTCAGATCACTGCGTCTTTTAAAATCAGTCTGCCATCATGGAACACATATATGTTGGTTTTTATGTTGGTTTTCCAGCATCCC